CAAATAGTTCACAAGACCCTACCTTGGGGATAAAACAAAACAAAACAAAAAAGCCCTATCACAAAAAATTGGGCTGGTGAAGTGGCTCATGGTGAAGGCCCTGAGTTCAAGCCCCAGTACCACACAAGTAAAATAAAATGAAATAAAATAAAGAGAAAGAAATTATGTCATAAGCAGGAAATTGGATGGAACTAGAAATCATGGTGAGCTTAACCAAGCTCAGAAAGACAAATATCACATGCTTTTGTTCATATGTAGAATTAGACCTGAAAAACATAACAATATGATATTTTGTAAAGGGGGACTGTTTGTAAAAGGGGGGTGAGGAATCAGTAGGAGGGGGTGAGGGTTTGGAAAGGAGAGGGTGACAGGATGTGGATATGATGGAAGTACATTATATATATTAAAGTGGCATAATGAGCCCCAATAAAAACTGTTAAAAAGGATGGGGGAGAAGGGTTAAGGAAGAGTAATATAGAAAAGGTGAATTTGATCAAATTACAATTATATACAAGTATGTAAATATCACGATGAAACCCCTTTGTGCAATTAATTTATCCTAATAAAAAAATTTTTTAAAAAGAATCCAAGATAAGGTTGTTTTGGGAAAAATTAGGTGTGCATGGTTCTGGGCTCTGCTGAGATTCAGCAGCTTCTTTTGAATTAGCCTGGTTGAAAAGGTAGACTGAGTCACCAAAGTTATCCTGAAATGCTAAATGCTCGTCTGTCTAGGTCCAAGAATCCACACAGGGGTAGGATTTACACCGCCTCTCTGTTTTTCCCTAAAAGTACCACTTGAATGTCCCTCCTCCCTAATCTCAAGTCATTCCAGCTACCCTGTCCCCATCATGGGAAATCACATCCAGCCCCATGGCTACCCAAAGATCAATGTTCCCCAGTCTGTACCCTGCTGTAGGCTGCTCCCCTAGCAGCTGCACCTGAAATGGCCATTGCACATCTACCTCCACCCTGGCCTCTGACAGACATCTTCTCAACACGTCCACACTACCCTCTCATCTTTACTCCTGGTTGCCCCCTTTCTCCAGTATTCCTTACCTGGGACTGTTAACGGCGCCAGTTCAGTCTGTGATCAGAAGACTTCCAAATTCTTGGTCCCTCATGGACGAATCCATGGCAGGACACGTGGGTATAAAGGGAGTTTATTAAAAGTTAGGGAAGGGAACTACAAGAAGGAGCATAGCGGGCACAGGAGGAGTCTGCTGGCCGAGAGCGTGCCTTTTCAGGTACTTTTAAAATTTACACTAATCTGCAGGAAGGGAGAAAGCAGGTGACTCCAATCCAATAATCAATGAATGGGGAGGAGCATGGGCGGTTTCTGGCCAGGTGAGGGTGGTCCTGAGATGTAATGTTTTTCCCTAATTTTAGCCTGCCTCAAGTTCTCAACATAGGACTTAACAGGACTGGCAGCCTTACCCAGACACCCATGAGCTCCACTCAGGGAGGTCTTTTGGTCTGGCAGCTCTCTGCCCACATACCACTGGGTAACAAACCTGACCTTTGGCTTCCCATGTTCCCATGTGTCACTGTGGTCCATAGTTCCTCAAAGCATGGGTTCCTTTTATTTTTTTGTGATTGTGCTGCTGGACTGGGCTTTGAACTCAGGGTCTCAGGCTTGGAAGGCACGTTCTCTACCACTTTAGCCACTCCAGTATTACTGCCTTTGTCAAAACACTTCAGAACAAATTCTAAACCATTCCGGGGCACGGGGCAGGGGTGTGGGGGGGGGAAGCAGGCCTTTGACTGCTTGTGGCCTTGCCTGTCCTCCAGTCACCTTGTGCTACCTGCCTTTCCTCCAGTGGGCCACAGTCCTGAGAACCCTTTTCCGATCAGTTTTTGATCCCTTCAGTCCCAGCCCTGTCTCCTCTCCTGACCTGCTTAGTCCCCCTCAATTGTTAGGGTTTAAGTAGCATCTCTCCTCTAAGCTTCCCAGTGTCTCTATGGGAGGTACCCCGGCTACCCTTGACCATGACATTGATGGCATCATTTAAGGTGCCTCTTCACAGTGGGACCTGGTAGCTATCTTCCACTCCTGGTACAGTGCCTGGCTCTCAAGGCATGGCATAAATGGCCTATTTTATAAATTAAAGATGGGAAGCAATTTTCCCAATGTTTTTTTGAGGTCTGGGGTAGGACGCTCAGGTTTTGCATGTATCCCACTGTGTATAGGAGACTTGCAGAAGGGACAAATCCCTGAGGTCTTCCATGGGTTCAGCAAGTCCTCACAAGGGTTGATTTCTTAGATTTCCAGGTCCCATCTGTAACCAGCTACTTTACTTTGCTGTGAAGGGTGGACAGCTGGCTGCCATCCAGGCCCTGATGACTGACTGATGAACCTGGGTATTGGTGCCAAGTTTGGGGAAAATAAGGTAGAGAGTCAAGTGTCAGCTATGCAGGTACCATGAGTTCCCGAAGGCTTTTGCTGGGCCTTCTTCAGGAGCATCCTGCAAAAACAAAGCCCATTGTGAAGCAGGGCTGAGAAGCTGGCATTTATTGGAGGGATGGGGGAAAAGGGTGGCAGTGATTTGAGGCAGCCACTGTGGGTCAGTACTTTACATTGTTCCTAGTGAAGTAACTGCAGAGACAGTGAGTCAGAAGGATGCTGGTGGTCCCCTGTTCCTCTGACCCCTGACCCAAATTTCCTTGCACTTTGGCTGATAATAGATTAATGAAATCTTTTTGATCCTGACAGAAATGATAACCTCCTCAAGATAAAAAGTCCATTTTCAGCACTGGATGGAAGATTAAACAGCACTATCAAGAAGCCAAATCTTCTATACACGAGCTTAAACACATGCCTTGTACGAAATGTTATGAGTTCATGTTATTGTCTTGGGGGTATCATTTTTTTCTCCTCCAATCTGTAGAGTTATTTCTGCTGTTTCCAGAATTTCAAAAGCTGTTTCAAAAACCATGGTTTTGTCTAACATGACTGGCACAGTCAGCTCTGTAAGTGTAAGGACAGGGACTTATACTAAGAGAAAACAAAGTTATTGCCTTCCAATGCCAGCATGACATGAGTTAAGAGTTTGGTGTTTTTTGTTGTTTTTTTTTAAAGCTTGAGAGCTGTAATTCCTTAAAAAATACTCTAATGATTTTTTGATAAGTTGAAGTAAAAGGAATTTAATTACTGAGTTGTGTGTAGTAAATAAGTTCATCTGTTATAAACCATATTTTATATTTTTCCAGTGAAGAAAGAATAGGAATTATGAAACTCAAATGATTAGAATTATAGGTAAATTTACAAAGTAAATCTGAATAGAAATGATTCTGATGCAATCTGTGATCTGAGGGTCCTGGTTTTTATGCTCCAAATGGAAAAATCCAAGCAGAGCACATGGGTGGGGTGAGGTAGGATAGCTTTTTTGAGAAAAGGGGAGTCGCCTGTTGCCAGGTGAGGGAAGGGAAGAAGAAGCAGAGGGCATGGTGGGTGCAGGTGGAGTCTGCCAGCAGAGAGAGAGTCCTTTTTCTTTCCAAGTGCCTTTAAAACCTACACTACCCCATGGGAGGGCAGGCCCAGGAGGTTCCCCCAATAATGAAAGAGTGGGGAGGGGCATGGGCGGTTCCCAGCCATGTGAGGGTGGTCTGGGCCATCCCCAGGCAACACACATGAGCCCCAAACTTCTAGCCTGCCTCAATTCCCTCCTTGGATAATGAATTTTGAATTAAATTTGGTTGTTCTACCATTCAAGGGATCCACATATCTAAAATTAAAGTTAGAGGAAGTTATAGTTTTCATCTGAAAAGTTGTTTTTAATTTGTAAAAGTGAAGCCACACTGTAATCCATTATAGTTAATAAATTACTTCATTTAATAATTTTAAAGAATGTTAAGAGTTTTAAAGAATGTAAAGAATTACATCCACACCTATTTAGGAGCACAGCCATCAACAGAGCAAATGATTCGGATTTGATCTTTAGAACACATTAGACGGTTATATTTGAAGCTTGACAACATTCTTTTTTAAGATTCAACAGCACATAGTCAGAGGCAAATGTGTCAGCGAGAAGTTGCCATGGAGGTCCTTACTTTACCCTAAGGAAGAAAATATAGGGAGGAACTTCCCAGCCCCAGAGCAGCAGCACAAAAAGTGGGTCTCTCAGTTCCTGGGTTCAAATCTTTCTAAAGCCACTTCTTGGCAGTGAGAGCTTAGATAAGCTACTTAACTTTTCTATGCCCCTTTCCTCATTAGCAACTGGGGAAAAATATTCTCTTCGCAGGTTTGTTGGATGACTAAATGGATTTATAACAAGTTTTAGGACAGTTTATGACTGCACACAGTAGATCCTCAACAGTTATAAGCAATTATTATTCACATTGGAATGTTCGCCCTTTCTAAACAATTTGCACAAATTGAGGCAATTTAGTATCTCGACATCTTTTTAGTGCATTCACATTCTTCATTCAGTAAAGCAAACAATTTTCAGTGAAGTTGAAGTTACTTAGACAAAACGTCTTAAACCTTATGCATTAAGCACAGCATAAAATATTCAAGAAAAAAATTACTCAAGGAGAGGAAGGGTTGGGGGGAGGGAAGTTGGCAGGGGAACAACTTTTGGGAATTGTTTTAAAGAAATCATTGTATTCAGGTGGCTTGGCAGGCCACTGTAAACACCAGGAGATGTAAGTAGGAAATCAGAGCCCATTGTGGGTCCTCAAATGGATGTCTTTTCAACTAAACAGATCACTATCAGCCACTACTCTGTGCCTGGTCATTTCCTTTACTGAGTGTCTGCAGGAACCACCCACTCGGGTGGTTCTCAGGATTATAGGTTTTTAGGTCAAACAGAAACCCTGGGGAATGCCTGAAAAAGCCAAACAAGCAGTTACATTCTTCACAGACTGGATGACGTGGAGCCACTTCTGTTGTGTGTAGCAGAGGCTGGGAGCCAGACTTGCGTGTCATTTTGTCCCCAGCATCCGCCCTCAGTCAGGCGCGATTGTTTTCTGGCCAAGGGCTCCTTTCTGAAGGAGCTGTGGTAGCTGAAGCATCTCTGGTGTCTGAAGCCTGGTGTTACATCCCAAGTGGCCTCCTCACTTCTTTCCTTCATCTGAGAAGCCTGAGCACTGGGCCCTCCACGCTTGCCCTGTGTCTTCACGCAATTCCACCATGGATGAGACACAGGAGCCTCTGGCTATGACCGTGCATCTCCTTGCCAACTCTGGGCACGGCTTGCTTCTGCAGCAGGCTCTGGACCAGCTCCTGGATTGCATCTGTCCAGAAGTACGCCTCTTTCTGGTGTCTGAGAGGATCAGATCTGTGACATACTGTGAGAAGAACCACCCCAGGCGGGCCCGGTTCCCAGGGATGTCTGTTTTGTTCTTCCTGCAGGAAAGCCTGGGACAGGAGCGGCTGTTTCGCATTCTGGACTCCCTACAGCATCCACCCTGGCAGTGCTACCTTACCCAGGCTGCACAGGGGAGGATGTGCCCCTGCCCCCCTGCCACTCAGGAGTTCTACAGCCTGGACAACCAGATGCCTGTCTGGGGTGTAAGGCAGGTGCGTTGTGGTCCTGAGATCCTCAGGGTGACACTGTATTGCAGTTTTGATAACTACGAAGATGCCATCAGACTCTATGAGATGATCCTGCAGAGAGAGCCCACCTTGCAAAAGAGCAACTTCTGCTTCTTTGTGCTGTACACCACCCAGAACTTTGCTCTGCAGCTCTCCCTGAAGCAGCTGCCCTTGGGCACGTCTGTGGATCCCAAGGAGTCCTCCGTGCTGCAGTTCAAGGTTCAAGAGATCGGCCAGCTGGTGCCTCTTCTACCCAATCCCTGTGTTCCCATCAGCAGCACCAGGTGGCAGACGGAGGACTATGATGGCAACAAGATTCTGCTACAGGTATTTCTTTTTCTTTTGGCAGTACTGGGGTTTGAACTCAGGGCCTCATGCTTGCTATCCAGGCACTCTACCACTTGAGCCACTCCTCCAGCCCTGTTTTGTAGTGGGTAGTTTCAAGATAGGGTCTCCTGAACTATTCACCCAAGTTGGCCTCAAATTGCAATCCTCCTGATCTCTACCTCTCCGGTAGTTAGGATTGCAGGTGTGAGCCATTGACAACTGAAGATATTTCTTGTTTTATTTACCTTTATGGTCTTGTATACACATATGGGACTGTGTCATTTTACATCTGAATGGGCCTAAGAGATGGTTCTCAACCTTGTTGCATCTTGGAAGTCCTGGGGAGCTTTCATACTTTCCCAAACCAGGGTGGTACTGCAGGCCAGTTAGACAGACTTTTAAACAAAAGCTTCTTGATTAATTCTACAATGTAGTGGGGTTGATCTAATTAAAACTCTTTCACGTGACAGATAAGAAAGCTCAGGCCTGGTGAACTTGCAGCTGACGAGTAGTTTGTGGTAGAAGTAGAAAGCGGATCCCCCCTCCCCCCAGAAGGGCTTTACTGAGCAAGTCAGTCCTTCACTTTGTCCAACACAGGTCAGGAATATGATACACTCTTTCCACCTCACCCTAAAGAAGTTCAAGTTGTAATTAAGTTTGGGGATGTTTGTTTGTAGTACTGTTGAATTAAGTTTCCAGCACCTTGTATCACATTTGTATTTGATCACAAATTGTTAGGTGGCTAGAACTCCTTCAAGAGAAAATCTTAAAACCATAACCTTGTCTTGTAGCCATTCTGTTGAAGCCAAACAGTGAGTGTGTGTTTAACCAAGAAGGCTGTCGTGTTTGGTCCTTTATGGGGTGTGATGTGATAGCTGAGCCCTGTGACCTGGGGCCTCAAGTTTCTTAATTAGCTCACCATTGGCATCTTCCTATAGTAAAGGTTGTTATCTACATGAAATGACCAATTACTTATAAAGCATATTATTAAGTACTCAGTTTTAGTAGTTATTGCTTGTATTATGCCCTCAACCAAGGTTTTTAAATTAATAATTTTATTTAATCCTTATACTAACCTATGGAGTCATACTATTTTTCTCATTTTGTAGATGAAAAAACTGAGGTGTACAAGGGTTACTTGCCCGACATACAGTTAGGAAAATCTATCAGGCTTTAAAGTGTGTGTGGCTAACAATTGTGGGCTGGAAGTGGTGGTACATGGTAATAATCCCAGCTGTGTGGGAGGCTGAGGTAGGAGGATAGTGGTCCAAGGCTGACCCAGAGCAAAAATTTGAAATCCTATCCAAAAAATAGCTGAAGCAAAATGGGTAGAGACGTGGCTCAAGTGGGAGAGCACCTGCCTAGGAAGTGCAAGGCCCTGAGTTCAAGCTTAGTACCACCAAAACAACAAAAACAATAAAATCCAACAATTGCAGTCCAGTGGTCAGTGCACTGGTGTGTATATGTGTGTAAATGTTCACAGCAAACTACCCCATGGCTTTGAGAGATGGTCAGTCCCTGTTAAGACCTAGAGGGTAAAGCAGCAGCAGTGTAAGCATGACTCTTTCTCTATAGTTAATTTTATTGGCATTGCTTTGACTTCTTAATTCACAAAGCATGAATCATACCGATTCTCTATTATGACTTCTAAATAGTTTATCTTTCTGTTCACAAAAGGTAGATAGGCACTCTTTTTTTTTTTAGTTACTTATTTAGTATTTAGTTACTCCTTTATTTGCCAAGTGTCTGATGTTTCTCTCTCAGTCTTAGTTAATTTAGCAGCAATATCACTGGCAAATAAAAATACAATGTATTTGTGTGTAGTAGGGGGAACAGTCTTATTCATTCCTATTTTGAAAGCAAACATGTTTTCTTGGAGCCACATCTTACACAATCTGTTGCTTTGAAAAACTTAGTCAAATCAGGGAGAGTGGAAGAGTTTTTACAGACAAAACCGTGAGGAATAAAAAATAGCCCCATTCCTCCCAGGAGAGTTTTAGGAGTCTGCCGACCTCTCACCTGGGGACAGAGCGCTTGTTCTTCTGTCTCATAGCTGTCCTCACAGGCTCCTTCCCAATCTCCTGGGAAGATCTCCAAACTTTTTGTACTTCTTTCCTGCTCTAAAACACTGGTCTTGGCCCCCTCTCGTTGATCTGGCTGCATCCATGACTCTATGTTTTTGCAAACAAAATGAGGGATGGAAAATTCTGCTCTGCTTTTTGTCATGAAAGTACCAGAGGCTTGGTTATGACAGATCATAAATGTCAGCATGTTATAACTACCACAGGGCTGTTTCACTCTTAGATGGAGTGAATTTTTAAGGATCGATAGACTGCCCAGCCCAAACTTTCTTGGTTTGGGGCAAGGGAAGGGGATGGGTGATGGATGCTCTGGATTTTGTAAGTAAATAGTTCAGGCTTTAAACAGAATACTCAAGAGCCAACTCTTAGCTCTGCCCCCTTTGTCTTGGCCCTATCCTGCCCCTATTGTAGCCCAACACAGTTTCTGGACCCAACTCCAATTGGACCAACTTGGTTCAGATTCTAGTCTCTAAACCAACAATTGCACTCAGGAGAATGGGACTGTATGGATCAAGCCAGTCCCGAGGTCAAGGCTCTACCCTGTACTCTAGATTCTGTGTGGTGCTTGGGGAAGAGTGAGGGTCCACGGCAAAGAGGCAAAGATCAGAGTGCAGGAGAGGAACGCAGAATGGTTCCAAATGATTGATGTCTACCACAAATAAGAAAATAATAACTATCTGAAGGACAACCATAACCACAAGTTAGCCTCTCCACAGGATTAGGATGGAGGATGTGTGCCTAGGAGCTTGCGTGTGGGGGGCTAGATCCAGGGGGCATGGAGAACTTTTCCTGAGAAGTTAGGCCTGAAGGAGAAAGGGGGGACAATGAGGGACAGTGTGTGGTATGGCACTTCCTTAGCAGGGCATATGTAGTAGACTGCCTGAGGTTCCATGTGGCTGGAGTGAAGGAAGGGGGCTCATGGGGAGAGGTTGGGCAGGTAGCCATGGGACAGAAGCACCAAGAGGGCAAGGGACTTTTCTAGTTCACTCCTGTGAAGCTGAAACCCAGACCATTGTCTGGCACAGGGCAGGCAAATACATTCTGGTATGAATGAATGAATGATTACATGTCTTGATAAATAGCTTCTATGCTAACTTCAGTGTTAGGCACAATCACTGATGGATCCTGTGAATGGTACTGGCACAGTAACTTGTGTTATGAACCTCAAATGAGGGAATATAATGGGGTGCTTTGTAGTAAAATCCTCTGGGTTTAGTTTTTCCCTCTTTATCCTCCAATCTTCAGAAAGATCTTGCTGAAAATTATAGCCTGGTCTCAGTAGTGTTGTGGGGACTTTCCTGTAAGCCCAGGGAGTGGCTCTTGTGTCAGGTTTCTGATGGACTCAGAATCCCACCCAGATCACTGAGTTAAAATCTTATTCTGTTTGATGTTTACTTGAGAAGTTATGTTAATTAAAAAGTCCTTGGATTGAAAGGGATAGTGGGACCCTGGTCCTTTCCTCTTCCTTTCTTTTGCTTCCCAGATTTGAGGTGAGTAGTTTTGTTCCACCTTGTGCTCCCCACCATGATGTGTTTCCCCACCACAAGCCTAAAAGCAATGGGGCCTGCTGGCCATGAACTAGAAGCTCCAAATGTGAGCCAAAAGAAATCTTTCTCTTCATAAGGTGATTATCTTGGGTATTGTTACAATGATAGAAGACAGACTACATACATTGTTAACTTCTGGTTAGGTGTTCTGTGTGTTGTCATCTGCCCTTCCAGTCTAACGTGAAGCTGACCCTCCCACAGGCCTGTGATAAATGCAACTGTAGAGCTGCACCTACCTTGAATACAGGGAAAGGAGAGGTTAAATTGGCCAAGGGTATCTGGGGAGTGAAGGAGGTATGACTTGGAAGATGACCAAATCTACTGTAGCAGAGTATAGGGTCAAGGGGAGAGAGTTCAAATGAGTTGAAGAGAACAATTTTCAGATCACTGAGAATGAGTAAGAAGGGATAGTATGACTTAACAAAAGCCATTTATTCAGGATTATAGAGAAGGGACAGACATGATCATGCCTGTAACATAGAACTGAGGACAGTGACTGGTACCATCCAATACGGTGGATTTGGTGGGGAATGAACTAAGCACTTCAGACGTGGATTCAGTTGTCTAGTTAAGGGCCAGCAACTTTGTGAAATAGGAAATTCACAGTGGGAATATGGCGCTAAATGTGAGCTGCATTTCAGAGATGGCAATGAATTAGACACATTGGTGTCTGAGGTACTCAAAGGTCATACAGGTGAAGACAGTCAAGGGGCCACTGTAGGCTGAAGGTGGTAGTTGAAGCCTGGAGAAGGAGTGATATTATCAAGGAAGAGAGTGTAGATTGAGAAGAGATGAAACATGACCTGAGACATGTCTGTACTTCAAGAGGGATGAGGGGAAATGAATGAGTGAGAGAAACTGAGAAGGAGTGACCAGAAAACTGGAGAAGATCATGGTGAGTCCTAAGATATGGCATCTCGGGTGTACTAGGGCAAATTTCTCGGGTTCTTCCACACGAGGTTCCTCACCAGGCCACTGGTGGTGTTGCCATTGCCCTTTGTACCACTTGCTGTAGGAATCAATGTCCTTTACTGGTTACTGCTGTCACCACTCCCTGGGCTTACAGGAAAGTCCTCACAACACTACTGAGACCAAGCTATAATTTTCAGCAAGATCTTTCTGAAGATTGGAGGATAAAGAGGGAAAAAAATAAACCCAGAGGATTCCTTATAAGCAGAATAACTTAAACGTCTCTAGATGTCACCATCCTCAGGGCTCCTAGGCCAACCTCACAGAGACTGTGAGGTCCTCTGTGGATCTTCTCCAAGTCTTTTTCACACCCAGGCCAAACTCAGAGTGGAAGAAGGAGGGTTCCCTTCCCATCCCCAGTAAGACCCACCTTCCTGGTCTTCTTTCAGGGACCAGGTGAGCA